GCTTCATTATATACAATAAAAAACAATGAATAAACGATAAAGAGGCACAGACTAACTTGAAAATCGGGACAGCATCCTTCACTATATCATATTTCACCTTGATATATACCTCTTGTACAATAATGATCTTAAAAGCACAAAGCAAAAAGATATGTTCTTTAGTAGTGAAGCCTATTAAAAGTTCTACGATAGCACTGTTGATGTTTGACATCAAAAGAAAAAAAAATCTGGTACCGTTGTAGTAGAGAAATAGGTACGTAAAATGATAGTACAAAGGAAAACAGAAAGTGGAGGTTAACTGGTAAGATGGTTGACAGTAGAATTAGTGGACATTGTATTATTTCTATAGTGAGCGGTGTATATAATATGATTACGTCATTGATGGTAGTCACAACCTAGAGACGACATGAGCAAACATGAACGTTGTTTACTGATTCCATTAAAATGTATGTACAAAGTCATGACCTTGATGTGGGTTGAAACATGCCCATGGCGATGACAGGATACTTGTGTAAATAAAAGAGCTCTATATTACTATTGAGGTTAGGTAGCGAGGTCGGTAAATGAATTACAGTTTCATGAATTTGTTTGATCATGAATATTATCATCCAAATTACACCGCTAATAACAAAAATGTTCGATCAATAAACAAACGTCGATCATTGACAGTAAGGATACGAAATAGGGCGTGTCATTTTACTGACAGTGCCAACTGTCCGTGTAGAAGTAAACCGTACAGTCATTCATAAATGATGGCTCCTGCCCGGCTTCAGTGTCAATGTGTCCCAAAAAATAAAACTTTCCCGCAAGACAATCGAATATAATATATAATAAAACTCAAAACAGATAAATATGGCAGATTGAACTTAACTTAGGTTTTCCTTTATATTCATTAACTGTTTACATTAATTTGAATTGAAATCATGTATTGTACTATTTAATTAACCAATTCTTAGGAATGCTTGCTTCATGCTCACTGTCACTCAATACCTAACATTTGTGCCTTTATTCGCTGTTGCTATTTAATGAATGTAATTGAAGTACCACTTCGAAATGTAATAACGTTTGTTTAAAACAATAGAAGTCCCTGATGCCGCACTACACCATGAACAGGAATTAACATCGGATCATACTGATGCCGGTATATTGGAAATAAGGATATGTGTCAATGTGACTTGTCGGTCCTACAAGATGGCCATAAGTTGCTTTCTTTTGGAGCTGATGTCTTCCCTGCATGTTTGTAAGTTTGTAAGATATAATCAAGCTTTTCTGTAACGACATTACTTCTTTGTAAAATCTCTTCTGGCATTCGAATCGAGAATCTGAACAAGTGTGGAAGGCTACGAGTTTAAGCAACTATGAAATACCAAAGTCGTCAAAAGGATACTCCTTGTTGCCAAATAGTTTTCGCCTGGACAACAGTGTAACATAACATGGTTTTGTGTCGTGTCCAAATTAAAGCATGTCTGTGAGACTATATATGCAACCGTCAGTTGTCCACTATCCACGGACATCGTCTTCATTTTGATTTTGGCATCTGTGAGGACATACAACCTCAAACAGTTTATTATTTACTTCTCTTTTTATGAATTCATTCTTCTTGTTTTTAACGTTTTCTGTCGTTGTTGATATTCATGTTTTGTCCATGATATACTATCATGTTTTCTTTCCTTTGATTAAAATCGTTGTAAACTTAAATATATGTTCTGAAAGATTTGCATTTACACGTAAACCAATTATGTTGATAAAGCCGTCTCGAACACTGGGCACCTATTGAGATAATAAAATCAAGTTGTGCAGTATTTCGATATATTGATCGGCTGACTGCATTAACATTACCACCTCTACGGCTGGAAGATATTTGTAACATCTGCAAATTCAATTATGTTTCATCAAACAAAATTCCAAATAAAATATCTTTGGGACATCCATTATCGTGTACATGTTCACCAGTATATTTTTTCAAGGATTTCACAGGTACGTTTCAACCAAGGAATCTTTCACACTCCATGAAATTTTGATATTTTCTCTGTGTTTGCTCTTGGTTCGCTGACTGAATTTCACCGCTATTTTACTGCGTAGTGAAAGTTTCTCAAAGAGGTGCCTCCGCTGAATAAGGAATAGTGTCATGATAATACATGAGTATTAACGATTGTCTTGGTAGTTCAAAGCATACTTGTGGTAGTAGTAACTACTAGTTTTAGATTCTTTTAATTTTTCTCGTTCGGCAAGGTGTTTGAAAGATAACGCAGTAAAGTAAATGGATAGATGACGATCTCAAATTTAGCCGCTCTTAAATTATCAAATACAACAGACACAATTCTTACTCCCTGTCTGCAATTAACTATTGAAGATTCCAAATCAACGAATCTCTTGGCGAACAAGCTCAAAAAAAGTTTTGTCCTTAGTCTGTGTGGGGCCTGGATACCATGATAAACGAGAAATCAAAATGTTTCCAAAATATATTGATCGTTTCCTTAGTATACGTTACTACTAAACTCTGCAAAAGTGATAAGTTGAATTAGCCCCAAGAGCGCATTCATCATGTTATACCGATAGTCACTATCAATGATTTGAACAGAGTTAAATGTCATTAATATAATCTGTACGTATCAATAGTTTCTACTAAGTTATGACCAGACCTCAGTTTGATCAATCGCATAAAGGATAGAAAATGGGTTTGGCTGCATTTAAGGATTTTATTACATGAAACTGACTGTAATAACTGTTCTAGGCCGTGTATCGGAGTACTAGCCACAAGGGGGCATTCAATTTGGATTTATTGAATAACTGCTCCGGCTGGAATTGAAAATATATTTCTGAAAGGAATCAGATTATATCGTCAAACTCGTTTTGATGTTTATGGATTGTAAATTTATCTAGATACTCTCTCAATACATGTTGACAAACAATCCTTATAGTAAACACATCGGACTAGATAATGCATATTTATATGTAATTTCGTCCGATGGTAACTTATCAAGAAACATCAAGAAAATACCAACATGGCAACATAATTGTAATTCAATCTCTAATTCCATAAAATTAGGGCAAAATAGGAACAAAAGACACGGAGATTCCTGGGAAAGTACATGGAGTAAGCGTCTACTGGTTCGTCGACGACATCCGCATGTAAACCTTGGCCAAGTAACTAATGTCATATTCTCAAATGAAAACAAGGTATACGACAACGGAACAAACAGGCAAACTAACAAGAAACAATTACGTCCAGCTTCATGTAGCACAAAGAAATAAGATATTCCTCAATGGGATCATTATGGCGACTATTAAACTTCTTTTTTCACGATGTTGTCAGTCAGTTGATGCCTTCTTGCACGAAAATCGTGATAATGACAACAGGTCCTTGAATATCGAATTAATTGTGACATGTAAAGGGATTGAAGATGCAGGGATAACTGCTATCAAAAAATATAAAAATTCATAATAGGGGAAATGAAAACATCACGTTTATCATACAGCTTGGTGGAAAGCTGTCCATGTTGGTTTCGTTGTAGGAAAAGATCCAGATAAGCAGCTAGAAGAGTCTGTCAAATCTTTGATTCCCTTTTCCCATGGATATATACAATGGACGTGGTAAACAAATTTCATGTTATTAAAGACAAAACTTCATCAATATTTCTGGAGGTGAAATTAAATGACTTTGCAAGATCTTTGTGACTTGTTTTCGAATGAACCCGGACTCGTATGAAAACAAAAACAAGTCAACCAAAAGAGGGGCGCATTTGGGTCCCATAGGTATGCAAAAAAGTCTGTTGAAAGATCTTACCACCAAACTCGATGAAGATGTTGTCAACCGTAAATTCGATTATTTTTATGATTTCGAACTTCGTATATTTCTTCTTTGATTAGGATGCTTCAGTATAGTTTACAACCACATACTTATACCGCCGTTCACCTCTTTTGGAGAAGAAAGGGCGTTCCTTCAGTTTCGAATGTGATATGGTGGTGTATAGGGTGGAAAAAAAATCAATGTTCTTATAGAAGAAACGTTTTTTGAAGAGGGTGTTGAAGATTGGTCAAAAGCTCTTTGGAGTTCTTAAAATTCCACATACTATTAATTCCACTTCTTGAGTAAACAGTATCACAATAAGACTGTAACCCATATTTGATAGTAGTTAGAATAGTGGTTAGTAGTTTAGACAAAGGCTTGTTTGAACAGTTTGACGAGCCAGCTATAAAACGTTGTATATGGATTCTTGTGAAGTTTAGGTATCAAGTATAAACGAGGGATGTCCGTATCCTTATCATTAATAGGTAATCAGAATTATTGTAATACCGATGCATATTTATCCAGCATTTCGTCTTTTGAAAGATATTGAAAGATTTTGCATAATGTATAGGTGTATAGGTTTCCTTTGTTATTAAGCAAGCCCAATTCCTTTTGTATACAGGAAATGTATGCAGACAAGGCTGACTAGAGAGATTGAAAGTGTATCCAGATGAAATAACAAATTATAAACATCAAAATAATTCATTATTTACCTCTACTGTATCAAAATCTTACAGCACAATATCTTGAAAAAAAAAAAGACAAAATTCAATCCTTCTTACTAATTTTTAACAGAAAAGGGAAATTCAACAGTCTTCCCAGAAACCTTTCAATGGAACTTACCAGGCCTTGTAGTCAATGTGCTGATGACACCGATAACAGCCAAGTGTGAAAGCAACACTCAATTTATTACATTTTTACATGACATTCCCTATATTTTTTGGAACATTGGTCAATCTTGGTCTCCTCAATACAGAATTTGGAATCTAATTACCGACATTTAACTTAGAACATATATCATTTTTGTCTTTAGGTTATTGACTGGGATTTCGATCTATTTGGAAGACGCAACGTTTTAAGGCCTTTTAGAAAACACTATTTCATTGTCAAATTCTTTGTACCTAAAATAGTGTATGGATAACAGTGGAGCATATAAATAACTGCTACATATATCTGATGACATGCGAAATTAACAGATTTATTACCTCACCTTAATTTTTGACCGCAGTTGTAACATGTCTCTCATCTGATCCCGATTTCCAGGAGTTGTCCTTTTCCACAGCACGAATCCTACAATACTGTAAGCTACACAGAGAACTAGTAAAGGTAACAGGTATATTATGACAAAGAGGGCTACTGAATAGGACCTTTGTACTTGAACCGACGGCCAACTTTCGGAACATTTGATCCTTGTGGTATTTCTGATTCGTTGAGTGTGAGCGAATGGCACAACAGCTGATGCTATACATATAGATAATATCCAGGTGGCCAGTATGACCTGCTTGGAACGAGCCTGGGACGCCTTGGAATAGAGAGGAAATGTAACAACAATGAACCTGTCTACTCCGACGGCGACGTTGATGAACACACTAGCCGACACTGAAAGCGTTTGCATGAACAACACAATTGGGCACATTGGCTCAGAAAACAGCCAACTTTTGTATATAGTATCTCCAAATGTAAAAGGCATACAAAACACAGCCATTATCAGATCTGCCATAGCTAGATTTATGAGAAACGGGCGTAAGTCTGTCCGTGATCTCCGTCCACGTACAAATACTATGACCACTAAGACGTTACCAACGATAGACAGTAAGGTAGTTAGTGAGTATAGGAGAGATAGAAATACCACCCACTCCGTAGACACCATTTCAGATAACTGATGTTCAGTCCCATTGTCAATCTCACTCAAATTTGTGTCATTTCTATAAATATCCGGAATAAAAATGTTCCCAGCCATAGTTCATGAAAAAAGATGTGTTGCTTGATAAATTAATAAATTGTATATGTATAAATGCTATAAGACTTCAGGACATATTACCATACCTTGATTTACATGCCTAAGTGAGGTAAGTTTCCAAAACAATAGGCTCGATTTCACTGAACTCCTTCACAAGGTAGAGTTGTGCTACATTTGCTTGTGTTCTACACCACATTACAAGATCACACGCAATGTAAACGAATTCGATCCATCAAATTAGGCTACCGTCATCAGGACGAGAGCGAACATTATCTAACGATGTGAAGTCAACACCTGTCGTAAAACCTCTATCCTGGAGAGTTTACTCTGGGGCGATGCCAGTAGCCGGTAAAATAGAACAATTTGACGTCCTTTAGCTCACCGGCACGTTTGAAAAGTTGAATGATACATACCGTACTTAGAGTCATTAATTGTTAACGTTTCGAAATGGAGATAGATAGCAATGTTGTATTGCTTTGATAGTTATAAACATTACTTATCGATCCCCTGCCGACAAAGCAGCACAATTGATAGAAATAGGGCTAATATCGCTTCCCGCTTGCGACAGGCCAATAACCAATACACACGGCTATTGAGAATCCACTCGTTTTATGTATCTCAGATTCCTCTTCCCAGAAAATTATTACCTCATCGATAAAATGGTCCAGTTACGATATCCATCGATAAATATTTTCTAAACTATATTGAATTCTCTACATTTCATTCGCAGCCCTTCAATAAAAAAACTCCCTCCTTCCTAGAGAAGGTACTTCTTCTGAATCAAACAGCGTTGGGTATTAAGTGTGAACATTTATACCAACATTCGACAGCAAAAGAAACTGACTAGATGTGACATTATAGTGAAGGCAAGAGGACGAGTGTGACACCATCCGACAAATACGCGTCTCGACGTTATGTGGTGCTTACAGCCGAGTTAGGTACGAATCATTGATGTGTCCATACCATAGTCTCGTACGATGGAGGTGCTATAGAAGGACGATGATAATCACCTTATTGTAGAGTCCAGATTAGATCTTAGCACCATCCCAGACGTGTTACTTAAGCTCTACATGATAATATCCTCTTGTATATGTACTTCCTTCCTTCGGGTTGTAAACTAACATGAACCGTATAATATATGACTTTCGACAAATTGACATATCGTTCATTGCTGAACCATGATATCACGTTTCCTGGTATTATTTTAGTATAAGCAACGTATTAAGTTTTTCTAATATTTTGTCGCCTATCTGATATATGTGTCAGTGATGTTTAAAAAAGTCGGTTTTTGTAGATTTTGTGGCCATGATATGGCGTTATGGTCACACGTTAAGGAATTAGACAACGGAAAAACTATATCTTGTCCGAAGCAAACCTGCGGTTTCTTGATTACGCGTCACTGGAAAGTATTTGTATTATGTAAGCGTCCTTACTGCCGATTCAATATTTGTTGTATTCATTTTTTGTAGATTTAGCAATTCATGAATATTATGCGTACATATAGCCTTTTGTGTTTCGTAAATCATCGATGTATGCTTTTTATTTGAAGGGCTCTGATTTCTAGTTGTCTTCAGGTAGTTCGACAAAACCAGAAGACAGCGATATAGAGTAATCAAAGACAATTTACTTACTTTAGATAAAAAAGAAAATGTATGGACAATACATGTGTTGTCTGAGATGCATTGGGTTGAGTATATGTTTACTGGACGACCAGTTCAGGAAATACTATATACATATTTAGCTCTATTTCAATGTTTCGTGTGGCAATAGAAAGGAGACCAAAATGGTTCTAGAACCTCTAAGTAAACCAACGCGCCAATCGATTTATATGAGTATATCAAAAGCACAAATGAAATATATGTGCATTGTTTTCATGAAAATCATGCGAAGTTAAAAGTTTATTGAAAAAAATGGGAAAATTGCGAACCTAGAAGTGTGACATGTCGTTTTTTTAAAAAATATATGACAGTTACATTGTTTGAAATAAGTTCAAGACATTGTATTGTTGCGCTGTTTGTTTGTTTGTTTGTCTATTGCCATTTTTATGGTAGGATGTCTTCTTTCTTTCAATATTTTCTTATTAATAGAATCTTGGACTTGAAGTGTTACTATTCTTAGCTTACAAGATGATCATTGACCGTTACTAGTGTGAACGACCTGACGACAAGGCAATGAACTTGTTTATATTTGAAGCCATATTGAACCTAAAAGTCCTATCGCGGATTATGTTTTTGATGTTCATTGGTGGTCATTAGGATTTCTACTACATATGCCTTTGTGTCAGTGAACAGGAATTATATAGCAGGTCATTAAAGGGGAATTCGCTTTCACTGATGTTTACACACAAGTAATATCAAATATGATAGCCCAGTTGAAGTAGACACGCCGCAGATTTCTGACCTTGCCCTTGGCACTATCATCGAACAAAGTGAGTGCCATTGAATAGCCAGTATATAGCAAGTTATCATCCTCCAGATGTTTCTTTAGTCAAAAGTTTGCCATTATCACAGACTTTGATCGAGGGGAATGACTTCGACGTTAATGGGGTGCTGCTCGTGTCGTTTTTTCTCGATTAAGTTTCATCCGTAACAACAGTTTAATGACTGATCAAAAACTAAATTCAAGAAACAACACAAAGTTAGCTCGACAGGCATACAAACTCTTTCCAAACATCCGTTGTTATTTCGAAAATTGAACAGGTTTTTTTCATCAAGTTGTATCTGGTGCTAGGATATAAATCTAGAGTCGCCCAACACAGAACCATTGTACATGTTATCGAGGAAACTGACGAGTTTGTACCAGGATTTGTTATATCATCAATGAAATATGAGCTACAATCCTCAGATGAATTACCCTTTGTCAAAAACTTAATTTCCATTTTATGTATATGGTAATTTGATTGGATAAGATTTGATGTTGTGGTGTAGTGTGTGAACGAACATTAATATTTCTATATTCATTCTTTTCTCATAATTGTTTCTTAAATAATGAAAGGAAGAATATACCACATTACGTTAATGCGTATTTTATCTATAAATGTACATTACATCTAGAATGGAATATTTCATAATATCCTGACGGCTTTCAGAGACAATTTAATGACCGAATTTCCGAACATATTGGACAGAAAATATGTTGATAGTGGAAAACTATTTTATAACTTTGTATTACAAAGTTTGCGAAAAACGCTTATGCAATTACGATGATATTACTCTCATTTTTTGGCCACGTGGTCGTGCAGGTGACCCCATATATATACGTCAGTTCTGAGGAACGAACCCTAGTCGCCTTTAAGTGGAGGAGGATTGAGTTACTACTGCACCAATGTATTTGTTATTCATATGTCATGAAAGATGATTGAGTTACTACTGTATCACAGTTATACTTATTTATAAGTCATGAAACGTGATTAAGTTACTACAGCCCCATGTTATGCTTATTTATAAGTAAGGGAATTGTTCATAATCTGCCCGTAATGGACCCAGAACAAAATATCCGTTAATTTCTGCGTCAAGTTTCGATGCTTTTTGTGTGTAGATAACAGGTTATTTAGTTAACCTTTTAAACCATTGGACCTGTTCCCAGTATCACAATTTTCATAACAGAGAGTTTCAAATGATTCAGCTAGATATAACTTATGAGGAAGTCTCACGGTCGACATGGAGATTTCGTGTATGGCTATGGTTAATTTGTCTGTTGGTTCCGCTCTTGTATATCTTGTTTTCATTTGGGAACATAACATTACGTTTTTGTATTGATCAAAATTTAAATGGTGTGTGTCGTTGATAAACCAAAAGATATTTACTCTTTCGGAACAATTCATGTAAATTTTTCCTTTGTACATATTTTGCCCTAGTTTAATTGAAGTCTGGTAAGGAATATCATTGTGTTTACATGGTGGTGTTTTCTTTTTTAATGTTGTGTTCGATTTTGAATATAAAGAAAGGGGGGGATACAATTATGTAATCACAAAGCCTGAAATAGGAACTCAATCATGGCATACGAAGCATTAGAGATAAAAAAAACTGCAAGCGTTTCCAGCCGTCACTATGTCTCTTGTCAAATTGCATCTTTGTTCCCATCATAAGTTTCCGGCGAATTATCGTAGATAGCGCTAATTGTACAAGGGGAAAAACACATCATGCTATAACTTAACATAATCTGTGACGACACTGAAGTCTCCTGTACTTTCACCGCTATAGAACACATGTTCGCAGTTACATCACATGCTTTTATCAGCCAGTGCTGAAGTTAAATGATTTTTTAACAAGATACGCCTTTGCTTGATGGTATTGCTGTTTATTTTAAATGTCTGTATTTTGATAAAACAAGAAGAAATATTTCTCTAGTATTCATAAACACGAAATGTCATGATAATGAATACCTGAGTTTGAATATCGTGATCAACCATGAACTATTGTTTAAATGCTACGCATGAGTGAGGAAGCGTGCTCATACTTTAGAAAATATGTAAATAACGTTAAACAATAAAAATATACTATGACTTTAAAAGGACTGTCGATTGTTTTTAATTTAGAATGTTATTTTTTAATTCGACTGACCTCTGAATATACGAGACTGAAATTTGTTTAGAAAAATAATATTGTCAGATTACGTGGTTGAATGTTTCTCATACATTTAATGTTTGATGTTTGTCATACATAATATAAACATCACATGGTTTTGTTATGTATATATTCAACACGGTGTTTTCTTCCCTCTATTATTTATTTGGTTTTGATGTTACATTTAAATGGCGGCTTTAGATACTAATTCACTAATAAATATCTCCCCATCTATTATTAAGCCACGCTTAAACGCTTTTTTTAACAAATAGCGTCATTGATTTAATCAAGTGATACTTTATCCTTTGGTTTTCCTTAAATTTGATTCGTTCGCCTTAACAGCGTGTATTCTTTTCCATTGTCTATCGCCTAATGCTCTTACCTCGCCGTTCATAATTCCTGTTTTCGTCCCTTTCTTGTTTTTGTCCTTTACAT